GAAGATAGTGCGGTGGTGGCGACGTTTTTCTATATGCACGACGAAGCAAGTGAATGGATGTTAGAATTGGGCAAAAAAGGAATTAACATGGTGAGAACCGACCCGTTGATTTATGATTCGTCTATCGTTTTCCCCGCTAGAGATAAACCACAGTTCTGGTAAAGGAGTTGAGAAACCTCTCTCGTTTGTGCCCTTTCCACACTTACGTTGGGAGACATATCATCTGTTACGGGTTCACGCCTCGGAGGAGTGATGGATTATCTCACCTTTTGGTTCGACATAGCGATGAGTGCTTTCCGTATGCCGGGGAGACTCCAGAAGTGAGGTGTTTTTTCCTTTTAATGTTCTTGCGCCATAACAAGATGCATGGTTCATTCGCTTATGTCCATCATTGTAGTCAAACCGACAATAACAAATATCGACGATTCAGGCGAGATGTTTCTCGAGACAAAAAATTGAGAGCGAGGAACGTCGACTTTTGAGCTGATTAATGTTTGATGTGTTTTTCTTGTGGATAGATGAACGACGGTTGACGGGATCTTACCATTGCAAGATATCTCATTTTTTGCGATACACCGAACGCTAGATTGATCGAGGAAGCGGAGCGACTCTTTATGGTTTGAGACAGTACACTGACTCAGTGGATTGGCTTTATCAGTATGCTTCGGGATGACCAAGGGGTTTTTCCAAACTCGCACTCAAATATTCGGGCCAATGTGGCTGGAACGACAAGACAATTTCATGGTTACACTTTCTATTTCCATCGCGTAAGTAATCTCCTGCGTCTCTCTCGAGTCATTGTGAGTGTCAAGATTACCTTGTCCGACGACCGCTTCAGCGTCGCTCAGATCCAAGACACTGAGACGCGACACCTGTTCGGGATGAGCAAACCATTTCGAGCCATAGTATGGCGGCGCTGGCCTACGGATGACCGTGCTCTATGGTACTCAGAGGGCTAAGGTTATGCGAGGCAGGCGCGTCATGAGTTTGATTTTCGACGACGACGAGCTTGCAAGTCTTTTTATGCGTCCGAGGCTCAAGGCCGCAAGGGGCGTCAATTGTATCAGAACTAGGTACGCCGTCCCCAAGGGATAATTTTTTGGGCGTAGGTGGACGACAAGTTATCGAGAACGATGGATGCTTTCGACTCACATGATAAGTCATCAGTTCTACCATTCCAGGAGTTGCACAAAGATGGTGCAATGTAACCGAGAGCAAAGAGAGAAAGATGAAGTACACCTTTGAGCTAATTATCATACGATAATGATTAACCAACTCACATCATGCGACAACATCCTACAGTTGAACAAAGAGGAACACCCTAATTAAGTTAGCATTCCTTCTGAAACCGTCCGAAGCGCGACTCACGTATCTCACAGATGAGTCTTGTCTGTATGTTTCAATTAGTAGAACTGTAGAAAGATCAATGAGTTGCGTCGAGGTTCTTCCTGTTAGGCAGGAGGTTTCGCTGGCGTTTTGTTTTCTTTGGTAGTGCTGTGCTTCTTACTTGGGGCGCAACTCAAAGTTTTTGGCCACATCAAGGACAAGGAAGGATGACTTTTGGCAATTCAATTCATGAAGTCAAGTCAAATCATAATCAATTCAGCATTGCACTGATGTTTCTTGCCATGTTGAACCAGCTAAGTATGAGTTTTTTTTTTGAATTGTTCATATCTCGACAACATCTGTCTCTTATACACATCTAGATGTGTATAAGAGACAAGGACAAGGAAGGATGACTTTTGGCAATTCAATTCATGAAGTCAAGTCAAATCATAATCAATTCAGCATTGCACTGATGTTTCTTGCCATGTTGAACCAGCTAAGTATGAGTTTTTTTTTTGAATTGTTCATATCTCGACAACATTGGTTGTCGGCGTTCTGATTGCGCAAAGACCTTGAAGACCAACGTTTGATATATGTGTCCTTTCTTAATGTCTTGTGTATTTTGTTTTTTGTGAGTTATGTGCAAGTGGCTAGGGTGAATGATGGGTTTCACGATTGGTTGAGACCGTCCTAGTCGACCTCCGCACGTCTTGTAGTTGGGAGATCAACGTCCTGAGCAACGAACGACATTTGGGTTAGGTTGGTGGCTTTACCCATGCATACCTATACCACAACGAAACGAGCAAATGCCATCAACTAACCTGCCTTTGAAATCGCATATAAAAACTTTCGCATGTGGGTCAGTAGTTCGGTAAGGATACGCCCCTAAGGGTGGTGACAACCCCTTAGGGAAAATAAGTTGTGCCCTGCGGGAACCTATCCTGTCGTAGGGGACCGCGGGAAGTACGACTAGCGCACCCGGCTAGAGCAACGAAGGGATGACCAACCACATCTGTCTCGGCGGTTCGTGGGATTACTTACGTGTCGTCTCTAAGTTACGTCAATTTTGTTTTTTTTACTCCTGCGTGACATGGCTGGGAGGGCTTTCGCTTTTTGTGAAAAATGTGAGAGCCGGTGCACTCCACAGGTGGTGCCGTTTCTGGGGATAGCGACTATCTACCGTTGTCCCTCGTGGAACGACCAGGTAAGTAAGCCTTATTATGAAGTTATGATTCAAGTATTACTTTTTGTTTGTTTCCCGATGAGAAGTCCGTAGTAATTTGCAGGCTAGAAACAGTAAAAGAGTAAAAGAGAAAGGAATGAAAGGTGAATTTGCACAATGTATTCAGGATCTGGTTCAGGGTGTCCTAGATAGCGTCCAACTTGCTGTCCATGTATGCACGCAGGGACAGGATGCTTGCCTTGATGTGGCATACTGCGTAGCCACATGGGCCCTGCAGGGCCCGTCCCGCACTTTCAGCCTAAAAGCCTAAAAACTTAGGGCTTACAGGCCCCCGTCGTTCAGCCTGAAAGCTGAAATACGAGGGTCTGCAGGCCCTACTCCATTTCAGCCTATTTCTGGGCCTTTCAGGCCAAGAGTTTTTCCAGCCTGAAACGGAGGGCCTTTTTCAGGCCCTCATTGTTTCGACCACCCCTAAGACTTAGGCACGAATACAGAGTTTCGGAACAGGCCAGAAATAGCCTGTTCCTCACGAGCTTGCAGGAGCTGCAGCTGCAGCCCCTGCCTCCCTTCGGCATTGGCAAGAGCAGCCTCCTGGACTGCTCGCACGAGTCAGGAGGCACGCCCGGCAGTACATAGGAAGTTCCCATGCACTTCATGGGTAGGTAGTTCTCAGTAGGCACGAGTAGTCTTCAGTTTTCGGCCGCAGCACTCAGGAGGAGCGCTGCAGTAGTCTTCAACGCTAGGCAGTAGTATTAGCGCTAGTAGTAGTCTTCGGCGTTGGGCGCCCATAGCCATAGTGGTAGTCTTCATCGCTGGGCGCTATAGGTGGTAGATCGTAGAGTTGGAAGAGATGGTTGGCGGAGGCCAGCGGTACTTACCTGTGGCGCCATAGCTCCAGCTCCATCTTCGAGGTACCTGCATCAAGGCGCCAACTTCACAGGTTAGTACTGGACACAGAGAGAGAGAGAGTTCTTCTTCTTCCTCTTCTAAGTCCACTATCTCTTCTCACCCTCTCGCCACCTGACTTCTCAGACTACGACAGAGAGAAAGAGTTGTGACTTGAGACTTGACAACATTGGATCCCGACTGGACATTTGGGATTCAAACATTTCAACGAGGGACTATTTGGGCCTGTGCCGGGACTTGGTGTGACGACATTCCCATCTTCCCCTCCTCTTCGTCTAACCCCTCCTTCTTCGTTTGTGTATGGTTGGGGCGGGCGCAGTCTTCTTGTGTGAAGCGCCATACCCCCTTCACACCGGATAACGATGATGATGATGTGTGTTCAGGGCTGCATTGCAATATTGATTGTTCGGATCATTAGTATCTAAGTCTTCCGCTGTGTTATCTTGTACTTTGTATTGAGAGGTCGGTTCTTGTTCTGGTCTGCACGTTACAGTATGCAACAGTTTGGTATCGGAGCGGACCTCTCATTCAGAGGACCCGCTCAATCAAGTAGCCAGCTTGCTGATCTATTGATCACTCATTAGTAACGCAAGTAGGACTTCGTCAAATCTTTGGAAAAAAAAATAATAATAATAAAAAAAATTATCGCAACAACTATCTGAAAATTTCTGATATTCGCATTTCGTTTTACCTGAAAATTTCTGATATTAGTAGTTCGTTTTTTTACAAATATCTGAAAATTTCTGATAAATCGCATTTCGTTTTGTCTAAAAATTACCGATAGTAGCTTTTCGTTTCTCTGATATTTTCGCATGCATAGCTGAAATTTATGAAGTTAGTATTTCGTTCTCTAGTAGGCATATTGGGATAATGATAGAAGTGGTCATATTCTCGGAAACTAAAATTATTCTTTTCTGAAAATCGAATTTCCTTTCTATCTCGCAATTTTTTTTTGAAACCGGAATCTTGCGAAGCCTACCAATATTGCGTTAGGCATATTCGGAGGTTGCCATATTCTCAGAAACTGGATTTCGTTCTTTTCTGAAAATCGCATTTTTCCTCCATTTCGCAAATTTTTTTTTTTTTCAAGATCGCAGTTTGTAAAAGCCGGAACTTTGCGGAACCCAGCCTAGATCTCATTCATAATACTCTTCTGACATGTCCTACTCATAATAGATCGACAGATATACAAAAAAAAAAAAAAAAAGGAAGTAGTCCTCTTTTATTTTTTATTTTATTTTATCTGTTGATTAGGGCCGGAGGAAAGTATTGTTGGGTTGGTTTCCTACCTGCGTTTTCCCTCCCACCCACCCCTTGCATGCATTTTCCGGGTTGGTACAGTGCCACGTCAGACACAGTGACACGTCAGCTACAGTGACACATCAGCAGGCCACGTCAACAGTGACACGTCAGCAGTGACACGTTAGACACAGTGACACGTCAGCTACAGTGACACATCAACAGGCCACGTCAATAGTGACATGTCAGCTACAGTGACACGTCAACAGCGCCACGTCAGACAAAGTGCCATGTCAGACATAGTGCCACGTAAGCAGTGCCACGTCAGACACAGTGCCACGTAAGCAGTGCCATGTCAGCAGTGCCACGTCAGCAGTGCCACGTCAGCAACATGACGGGCCTGCCAGACCAACTGGCCGATGAGCCCATTGCCGACTACAAAAAGCGTTTCCAGGCTCAGCTCGCTTTCATCGAGGCTGAGGAACAACGCCAGCTGGCAGCTGCGGCTGCCCAACTACAGGCTGAAGAAGCGGCAACAACAGAGAAGTTGCGGCTACAGGCCGAAGCAGACACAGATGCCCAGGCTCGCCGTAAGGAAGCCCAGGATCTGCTGCAGCGGCATGAGGCCAACAACATCGACAGACTCAAGTTCTGGCACTTTGAACCGAACTGCGACGAGGCAACACCGGAAGAGCAGCATAAGGAGGTCATGGCCAAGCTCGTGACCAGGTTGGTTTACACTTGTAACCACCTACAATCCGAGCTGGCGAACCTCCAGCGGGCCGTGCGGAACCATAAGGCTCAGCACGAGGATGCCACACGGGCACTGGACGCCCGTGTACAGGACTTGAAACAAGTTCCACCAAGACCAGATGCTGGGGCTTCCAGCAGTGCATCCTCTAGTCGCCAACTGGAGGAACTCGTTGACCACGTAGTGGCAATGCTAGGAGACATAAGTGCCTTCAAAGAGTCGGCCACCATCAGCCAGCGGTTCGAGTTGCTGGACACCAAGATCAGTCAGCAACAGCAGACCGACCACAGCCACAACAACAGCTCGGCGAGGCCATACAAGATGCCGACATTCCGGATCGAGAAATTTGATGACTACACACATCAAGACCCGGTCGTCTGGTGGCAAGGATTTACAACGGAGTTGGGGATTCACGAGGTCCTTGACCATCTGTTCATCAGTGCTCTGTTCATCAACACCAAGGGAGGATGTCAGATCTGACTCAGCCGCATGGAAACCATCCACGGCGTCCAGGTTTCAGACCTATACAAGAAGGTCTCCTGGGAAGATATGACAAAGGAATGGAAGAAGCGGTTCATCGTTGACGACCCCCCGGCACTCGCCATCAACCGCATCTTCACGATGGCTCAAGGGAGCACACCGACACGTGACTGGCTCACGGATTGGCAGAAGATCGTGGCAACGCCCGATTTGGACTTGCCATTTCCGCATCTGCGCCGTGAGTTCTACAACAGGTCATGCGTCGCTCTCAGCCTCGCACTTGTTGATCGCGAGCAGTACAACACTTTCGCAGAGATCATCAACAAGGGGAGGGAGATCATCAAGATTAACAGGGCAGCTGCACACGAGAAGTCAACGTGGCAGCCAACCATTGTGGAGAAGGTAAGAACTGGTCCGCGACAGCAGCAGTTCGCTGCAGTCCAATCGGACAGTGGAGAAGACCCAGCAGCCACTCTAGCATCACATGAGGGAGATCAGGTGGCTGCTGTTCAGCCGCGAAGCAATAAGGCCCGAGTGAACGGACAGCCAGCACCACCATGGGTCAAGTTCGGCTTGACCGAGGCCGAGTACAAGTACCGCAACCGTTACGGCTGCTGTTACTGGTGCAACAGCACCAAGCACAAGACCTCCATTTGCCAGGATCAGGCCAAGGAGGATGTGCGGCCTCGTCTTAACTCGGAAAACTGAGTTGCGCAGGAGGTGAGGCGACTCCACCTCTCACTCCGCCAGATTCGGCCGCCTTGCTAGCGGCCTCCTACACATCTGGGGAGGATGCGCATGTTGCAAGTCCTCGGTACACTTACGAGGATTATGCTGTCCACTTGGTTCCACCGCTGGACCAACCGCTCCACGTGCAACAATCTACCGCATGCACGGTTTCATCACCATTGGCAACCGATTCGGCAGCTTCGCCGTCATCTACCGCCGGGGATTCAACGACATGGTCAAGTCTTGAAGAACTCGACCCGTTGACCTTGGAGGACTTCCAATGGATGCCCCTGCCCCGGTCCGGTCGCTTGCCGAAACCGCATTGCAACGCGCTCAAGGCACAATTGCGAGATTACTTGCACACTGCAGTACCGACTCCGTTGATGGACGCCGAAGTAGAGGTTGTCGACCTTCACGCCTACATTGCGAAGATCAACAGCGAGTTCAAGACGCAACGGTACGACGACATCGATGCACCATTGCTATATGTAAACATTCAGATTGGAGAGGCGACCTGCAGCGCTTTGATTGATTGCGGAGCATCTCGCAACTACATGAGTCAGGACTTCATGGTACGCGACGGCCTTGGCCCACGAGTCCGAAGGAAGTCCCAGCCCACGCAAGTCACATTGGCGGACGGTCACACGCACAAGTCAATCGACCGGTGCATTGACGACGTCCCAATGTACTTTGCCCCTCACGCAAGTGAGGCGGTGTCCTTTGACATTCTGGACACCAAATTCGACATGATCTTGGGCATGTCATGGCTGCGAAGCGAGGATCACCCGGTGAACTTCTACCGCCGCACCGTTCACATTCGTGATCGGAGCGGAGTACTAGTCCCATGCACGGTAGTTCCTCCTCACCCTTCAGTCAGCTGTCACGTGGTATCCGTCGCAAGCATGCGAGCCTCCATCATCAGAGACGACATCGAGGAGATGGGGGTGTGTTTTCTCCACGCCCTCCCGCCCCAAGACGCGTCATCGACGGACTCATCTTCGGATCCACGCATCACCGAACTTCTCGACACCTACAGCGACGTGTTCGAAGGCCCGCACGGAGTTGTACCGGATCGACCCATCCGCCACGAGATCATCCTCGAGGACGGGGCCGTACCTCCACGCGGTTGCATCTACCGAATGAGCGAGGAAGAGTTAAGTGTGCTTCGGGCACAACTCGACGACCTTCTGGAGAAAGGCTGGATTCGGCCTAGCTCATCGCCATACGGTGCTCCTGTTCTCTTCGTCCGGACGAAGAACAACGATTTGTGGTTGTGCATCGATTATCGCAAGCTCAACGCACTGACGATCAAAAACGTCGGCCCTCTCCCACGTATCGACGATCTTCTCGAGCGATTGGGCGGCGCCAAGTTCTTCTCCAAGCTGGACCTCAAGTCGCGATATCACCAACTCGAGATTCGGAAGGAGGATCGCTACAAGACCGCGTTTAAGACACGATATGGGCATTTCGAATGGCTGGTCATGCCATTTGGCCTTACGAATGCCCCAGCCACTTTCCAAGCGGCTATGACAACGGAGTTTTGACACATGCTGGATCGTTACGTACTTATCTACCTGGATGACATCCTGGTGTACAGCCAGAGTTTGGAGGAACATGTGGAACACCTGCGCACCGTTTTGGAGCGGCTACGACAAGCCAAGTACAAAGCCAACAACGACAAGCTGGAGTACTTGGGACACTATGTGACGCCGCAAGGCATCCGTCCGCTTGCGGACAAGATCGAGGCCTTACGAGTATGGCCCGAGCCCACCAACACCACAGACGTTCGTTCATTCATGGGGTTGGCGGGCTACTATCAGCGATTCATCACCGRATACTCCAGGATTGCTGCACCTATGACGAGGTTACAGTCGCCAAAGGTGCCATTCGTATTTGATGACGACGCACGCCGGTCATTCCAAGCACTCAAGACGGCCATGCTCGTGGCACCCGTCCTTAGCATCTATGACCCCACCCTGCCGACGCGAGTGACTACGGACGCTTCCGGCTATGGCATTGAGGCAGTCTTGGAACAGCACGACGGCGACGACTGGCACCCTGTGGAGTATTTTAGCCACAAAGTGCCTCCCATCAACTCGCTTGATGATGCAAGAAAGAAGGAGCTGCTCGCATTCGTCATGGCTCTCAAGCGATGGCGACACTTCCTCCTTGGGCGTCGTAGGTTGACATGGGTTACGGACAACAATCCATTGACCTACTACAAGACGCAGGATACGGTGAGCAGCACGATCGGACGATGGATGTACTTCATCGACCAGTTTRACTTCACACCGAAACATCTTCCCGGCCTCTCAAATCGCGCAGCAGATGCACTGTCGCGAAGACCTGATCTTTGCGCTATGACACATCATGCCTTCGCATTCGACGAGGAGCTTCAGCGACACTTCATCCGGGCATATGAGTCTGATCCGGACTTCACCACGCTGTATGCACAATTATCTTCGGATCACCCGCCGGCCAGCCACTGTCGCATTGCCGACGGGTACTTGCTCCTCCACTCGAGAGGCAAGGACTTACTATGTGTCCCACGTGACCGCCGTCTTCGGACTCGCCTCCTCGGCGAGTATCATGATTCACGACTCGCCAGCCATTTCGGAGTCAACCGCACTATTGCACAGCTTCGACAACGATTCCGATGGCCCGATCTCATTACCGATGTCACTCGGTATTGCGACTCTTGCGAAGTTTGCCGACGCAGCAAGCCCCGCAACCGCAATCCCTACGGCGAGTTACGCCCGATGCCTATCCCACGGGAACCCGGACTTTCCATTGCCATGGACGTCACCCGTCCATTCCCTCGCGACCGGCTCGGGCACGACGACATCCTCACGGTTGTGGACCGATTGAGTAAGTACGCGCGGTTTCTTCCTTGCAAGTATTACTCCACGGCTCCCGAGCTGGCACGCCTCCTGCACACCGGTTGGATTTGTGGCCACGGTGTACCAGAAGACATAGTCAGCGACTGCGACACTCGCTTCATGTTGGCATTTTGGACTGCTCTCATGCAGGAGTCCGGCACGAAGATGAAGCCAAGTTCAGCTCGGCATCCACAAACAGACGGGCAGACGGAGCGGGCACATCAAACCGCTCAAATGATGCTTCGTACGCTCATCCGTCCGGACCAGAAAGATTGGGTTGACCGCCTCCCCGACATCGAGTTCGCCTACAACACTTCGGTGCATCCGGCGATCGGCGTGACTCCATTCGAGTTGCACCACGGTGGACGGAAAGGCCGGATCTTCGCCGACCTTCTCCTCCCTCGACCAGCCGACATCGATGCTGCCTACTCTCCCGCTTCCGTCCGGAAGTACAGGGAATTGCTGACTCAAGCCCGCGCGAACATGCAAAAGGCTCAAGTCCGCATGCAGCAGCAAGCCAACAGGCGTCGCGTACCATGTCCCATCCGCGCCTGTGATCTGGTTTGGGTCTCCGCGGAAGAGTTTGCACTGGAACAGGATGTTTCACGCAAACTGCTTCCCAAGTGGTTTGGACCTTGGTCTGTGACAGCAGCCGTGGGCGATGAGCCCGATGGCCCTTCATTTGTGATCAACATTCCCGAGCATCTAACGGTCCATCCAGTCTTTCACGCCTCGAAGCTGGCAACATATACACCAGCTAAGAGCGACGACTTCCCGGGCCGACGATCGCAAGACCCTCCTTCTATGGATGGTCATCAGGAGGTTGACCGCGTCATCTCGGATCGCAAGCACGGCAGCAAGCCGCGACAATACAAAGTTACATTGAGAGCATGCGATCCTGACGACACTTGGTGGATTTTAGGAGCAGATTTGAAAGCATCCGCACCGCTAATCTACGCTCACTACGAGCGTCAAAGGTTAGCCAAGGGACCCCCACGAGCTGCCCCTCCCACCCGGACTGTGGTCCCTCCCTCAGACAGACAGCTTCGCCCTCGCAGGTAAGCTCGGTCTTTCAAGGAGGGGGGGGTGTGGCATACTGCGTAGCCACACGGGCCCTGCAGGGCCCGTCCCGCACTTTCAGCCTAAAAGCCTAAAACTTAGGGCTTACAGGCCCCCGTCGTTCAGCCTGAAAGCTGAAATACGAGGGCCTGCAGGCCCTACTCCGTTTCAGCCTATTTCTGGGCCTTTCAGGCCCAGAGTTTTTCCAGCCTGAAACGGAGGGCCTTTTTCAGGCCCTCATTGTTTCGACCACCCCTAAGACTCAGGCACGAATACAGGGTTTCGGAACAGGCCAGAAATAGCCTGTTAGGAGCAACTATCAAGGAGAAGTTTCTGACGAACTTCCTATAATAACTAGCAAGTCCTAGGAAAGATCTGAGTTCAGTTATAGTTTTAGGTTGTGGCCAATCTCGGATTGCTGTATTCTTATTTTCTTCTGGTCTTAGTCCTTCTTCATTCACTATATGCCCTAAGTATAGCACTTCAGGCTTATTAAATTCAGATTTCTTAGGATTCAGTTTGAAGTTACCTTCACGTAACTTCTGGAGAACCATTCGCATATGTTTCTCGTGGTCTTCCAGTGTTTTACTGTACACTAAGATATCATTGAGATAGACAATTACGAATTGGTCCAACCATTGACGAAACAACTCATTCATAGACCTCTGGAAGGTTGCAGGGGCGTTAGTCAGACCAAAAGGCATTACCACAAACTCGTAGTGACCATACCTTGTTCGAAACGCCGTCTTGTGTTGATCTTCAGGAGCCACCTCGATCTGGTGGTACCCTGACTTGAGATCAATCTTGTTGAAGTACCTGCATCCCTGTAGTTGGTCTAATAGATCGTCAATGCGCAGAAGAGGTTCCGCGTTTTTCACAGTGACGGAATTCATCCCACGATAATCAATACACAAGCGAAGTTCACCTTCCTTTTTGGGTACGAACAAGACAGGTGCACCATAAGGAGATGAGCTAGGGCGAATCCATCCCTTGTCAGTAAGTTCCTGCAACTGTTTTTGTAATTCCTCAAGTTCCTTGGAAGACATACGGTAAATGAGACCTTTGGGAATCTTGCTTCCGGGAATAATCTCAATAGTGTGCTTAATAACACGCTCAGTGATTCCCGTCGGCTCAGTCTGCAAGTCCTTGTACTCGTCAAGAAGTTTTTCAATAGAAGGTGGGTAGGATGAAGAACACTCACCTACACGCTTAACAAGCACCATCATCACCTCCTGGTCCAACTTCTTCTTTGTTACCATCGATCGGAAAGTTGGGTAACTCATACAACAAAAAGACAGAATAGAGTCAGAGTCAGACTTATGGTACAACTTTATCACACGCATTTCGGGCTTATCGTCCTTAAGTTTGACAATTTTATCTTTGAACTTGACTTCTGGGTCGGCTTCCTCATGCCAATCCATACCCAGAATTAAGTCAAAGGGTAAAATCTTTTCAATTAGGAACGATACCTCGTGTAGAATTCTCTTACCTTCCTTTGTCCTGAAATAGCACTTGACACGATCGACATATTGAGAGACAGTGATCGTGCTCTTATCAACCAGTATAGACATGATAGGTCTAGGTAAATCTTTTAGCTTCATTCCCAGATGCAATTTTCGAATTGCCTTCTCTGAAATATAAGACCGCGTCGATCCCGGATCTAACAGAGCACCTACTCGCGTGTGCGCAATCTCAACATCCGCGATCATTAACTCACCCTTTGATTTTGCTTTCTTCGCCCACGAACTCCGTAGTGCTATCAGTTCATTGTCAAGTTCGTCAAGGGAATCGTCAAGTGAGACAGAACATAGCACAGTGTCAGGGTGGTCTGGACAACGGGCGGAAGAAGAACCATCCTCTGCCTTGAGAGTCGAAGGGGTAGAAGGGGTTGTAGGCGCCTTACCTTTTTCTTCGTCTATACCCTTCGACTCAGTAGGAGCAGATGCTACTCCTACTGGCTGCTCGCTTTTGGGTTACGGATAAGTGGGCACCAAGCGATCACATGCCCCACGTGCCACACTTGAGGCACTGGCGGTTGTCCATCTTGGACTGCCATTCCTCCCTACTCATGTTCATCTTTTCCCAAGGTCTCCCGAACGCAATGTCGGGATGCTCGGGAAACGAGCGTGGCCTCTTCTTCTTCTTCCACTGGTTTTGGCCTCCCCTGTTGGCCATTACGGCAGTGACATCACCCTTCCCAGATTCACTGCCGCCGTTACCTCCTCCTCCCTCAGACTCATCAAGAGGTAACTTCTCTACTGTTTCGTCGTCGAACTGCACAAGCATATGGTCCTGGCGCTTTTGCCGCCAAAGGACCCGCTTGCCGTACCCACCAACCGGTCCTGACTTAACAACCGAAGCGTACGAACCTTTGACCTGTGCGGTCATCTGCTTTCTCTGAAGAGCAAGGTCACGGAACTGCCGATAATTATACTTACCAGATTTCGATTCGGCCACGAGCTGTCCACGAATAGGCTCGGGCAACGCTCGTGAGTAAATGTATAGGACCTGGTTATCCTGCAAATTCAATCCAGGTACCTGCAACAGACGATCAACTTCACGAGACAACGCATCGACARAAGTCCRACGTTTCTGGCTAATGGTGGTGAGCTCGTCAAAAGCCTTGTCGGCCGTCGTTTTGTCAAGGAACCTCTCCTTTATCTTTTGGAGAAATTGCCTCAACGTCAGGGTCTTTGCCCACTCACCAATATCCTCAAAGCCAGCGGCATTGGCCTCGGCCAGCACCCATTCCTTGGCCACTCCTCCTAAACAAGACGTTGAGAAAGCAACCTGACTCTCGGGTTCCATGGGTGCGGTACTACAGTAAGTCTGGATTTCGACAATCCACAGCAACAAGTTTTCATCCTTCTTGTTACTGTAGGTGAATGGTAACTTCATTTTCACCTTTTCCTTCTTCTTAGGCTTTTCCGCTTCTTTCGCCGGTTCTTCTTTCTTTCTGGTGGGTTCTTCTTTCTTCTCATCCGGCTTCTCAGGTTCTTTCTTGGATCCTTCCGGTTTCTCGGGCGTGACCCGTTTCATTGCATCCTTCATTAGTTTCTCCTGGGGTTTCTTATCTTCTTCCCTCTTGGCCACCTCCTCATACACCACCTTGTCTTTCCCTTTCATCATTTTGGTCATGGACTCAACTGCGGCGGTGTTCTTTTCAATCTTCTTTTCAAGATGCATGAGGTAGACCATGATAGACTGGAGAATAGATGCAACCTCACTTCTTGCTTCTTCGTAGTGAAACCTTTGCCTCGATTCTTCCACTACTTTCTCTTCTTCTTCTTGCTGTTCTTTCAATCTTCTATACTCTTCGATCTTTCTTCTTTCTTCTTTCAATGTGTTTTCAAGTTGTCTGATGTTTTCCTCCATCAATTCCACAGACAATTGTGGTTTTTTTCTTCCAACCCTCTCTTCTTTCTTTTCTTTTTTTTCCCGGTCTAATTTTTCGAGGCCCTCGGCGACATACCGATCAAGGACTAATCGTCCTTGCTTTATGAGTTCTTCGACTCTCTGGCCTATCTCCATCATCTGAACAGCAGTTTCAGCGGCCTGCAGATCTCCTTCTGCATCACGCAGATTGACCTGTCCGTGAACATGCTGTTCAACATCTGGACCGACACCATGTATCTCGCCACGCAGCTGACAAAGGAGACCCAACAAAGTTTGTCTCCTTCCGTCAATCTGTCCACGGGTTTTCAGTTCCACTCTCTCTTCATCAATAAAGACGGTGATAGGGATGGGAAAGAAGAAGAGGGGTATGAATCTAGTCAAGATAGGGGCACGCTGACATTTTCAAAGAGAATGCATTCTGCCAAGCGTGCAGATGCCGTACAATAAATAAAATTAAAAGACAGAAATAAATTCCATGACGCACACAATCTTTCACAGCAAGAGTTCACCAAGGCAAATACGAAGAAACAGATGATGATCAATAATTTACTAATCTATTTTGCTGTCTGTTTGTTCTATGTGATGACGTCCTACAGTATGTGCACAGGTACCGCAGCCATGGCCAGTGTGATCAAGACATCAGCACACAGGTGAGTACGCACGGACACCATAAAACAGCCAACAAGTAAGTAGGAAACCAACACAACAATCACAAACAATTGTCAGCCTCCTCTCTCCATTAGCTGTACTGTCGACAGCGACCAACACACTCGACAACTCACCGAACACATGCCACGTGTCACCCCTGGCATGCCAACACAGCAGCTCGTTGGAGTCTGCCAGGTCAGCACATCAAGGACCCGGAGGTATACAAGGGAGATGCCACGTCAGCAATGTGTGCTTGTCACACGCATACACTGGCATGCCACGTCAATGCCCAATCAGCGGGTAATCACGGCACAGATATGTGCCACGTCAGACCATATCCTGCCAAGGAACAATATGCCGCATTGCCACATCAGCGGTACCAATGCCACGTCAGCCTGTTGCCAACGCAGCTCTTCAAGCTTCAACGTAGCCTGGTCATCATCTTCAAGGGATGGTTGCTCGCAAGTGCACTACTACCGTGTCTAGACTTGTGGTATGACCGCGCGCGTTAATAAACGCGTTTCATATTGCACTTGCGGCACCTCCCACTTACCTGGGTGCCACATCAACACCTGACAGTAGACAGCAGATCGCGATGAAGAGATGCTCTGATACCAAATTGTAATGAACCCAGATCGTGAACACAGTTGTCAACAATGCAAGTCCAGATAGATGTCAACAGCTGATGAGAACCAATAATCAAGATAGTGTCCAGACAAAATAAGACGAGATAATCATTCACAGACGAAGAAGAGAGGAGGGAGGATAGACAAAGGAGAGGAAKAATGCCCACTCCTGCTTCGGGCTCCCTCCTCCAACTCCACTTTAGTAATCAACAGTCTGAACGAGTATCTGAAGTAATTTTAATGTGCTGGCACTTCTAATTAGTCCCTCTTCAGCGCTGGAGCAATGTCATCATGAAGACCACCAGGTACGTATCACGATCTCTCCACAGTCCTGATCTTACTCTCCCTCGCAACCAGTCACCTCATGTATGTAGTGTGGACAATGCCACATCAGCAGACAAGACAGGTGGCATATGCCACATCATCAATAAAGACCAAGAACAGCGCCACATAGACAGGAGCAGCGCCACATCATCATACCACGTAGACCATGGGCAGTGCCACGTATACCAGAGGCAGCGCCACATCAGCATGCCATGTAGACCACAGGCAATGCCACTTATACCAGAGGCAGCACCACATCAGCATGCCACATAGACCATAGGCAGTGCCACATATACCAGAGCAGCACCACATCAGCATGCCACGTAGACTATAGGCAGGGCCACAGAAACCAGAGGCAGCGCCACATAAAACAGAGGCAGCGCCACGTCAGCATGCCTGGCCCACAATGCCAATGTCGCCTCTCCCTCGTGTCGTCGTCCGCAGCTCTGATGCACAACCAGCGTCCAGCCAGCGTCGCGCTAGCATAATGCCAGCGTCTGTGATTGCTGTGCGCTTGCTATGCACTTAAGTCAAAGTCAAGCCAGCGTTGAATCAGCATAGCAAGACTGAATGTAGATTCCCTGTAGACCCCAGCTTATGTAGTGTTTGACTCGGAGATCTGGCGTCCAGTCCACGTGTCACAGTCGTCCAGATTGACCAGCCGTCGAAGGTCTGGATCGCGTACAGTTGCAGTTTTCCACTTGGCTTGGATGCTGTCCGGGTACCTGCATACAAACAAGTGTGTGTGCTTGACCGGCGGCCTGGGCTGGGTACACATTGATTTTGACCTTTCGAAATCCGGCAGTTGCCTACAGTCAACTGCCTGGCGTCCAGGCCCTGTAGCAGACTTAGGGCCTTTGCCCCCTTATGTGCCCTGGACTGAGGGTTGCCGCGTTCGCCCCTTAGACGACATATGGCATGGGTTATTGCAAATTTAAATATTCTTGATTAAATATTTAACTTTTGCGAAATTAATTATTGCAATTTTAAATATTGTTTAATCAAATATTTAATCTTTTGCCAAAATTAAATTTTATTAATTCATATTTTCCGATTAAATTTTATTTAATTTCTCAAAATTTGAAATTTCGTCGGGGGCGGGGGGAATTTTTTTCTGTTGATTAGTGTTAGACTTCGAGGTCAGGGAGAAAGGGACTGTCTGTGCATTGTTTGCTTTCTGCCCCTCCTCCCCACCCTACCTTCTCTCTCCTCCTCTCGGTACCACGGACGTCAGTCTACGGCCATGTCAGCATTGTGCCACATCAGCAGCGGGCCACGAAGGCAGAGTGCCACCTCAGCCACGTGTCCCCTCAACGTGCCACGACAGCCGAGTGCCACTCTGCAGCGGCCACCTCAGCAGTGCCACATCAGCAGGTGCCACCTCAGCGGTGACACATCAGCAGCAGACGAAGGCCAGAGTACTTGATGCTCCGCAGCCAACGACTGGCCGAGCGCGGATCCGCAGGAGCCAAGCCTCAATAGGGACCTAGGACCCCTCAGATTCCGCGCAGGCCACGCATGACCATGGCTGCTACCGCTGACGACAATGCACAAGCCAGCCCCAAGAGGCCAGTTACCCCTCCTATCCCAGTTCAGCAGGCCGATGAATCGCTTCTAGTGTTTCTCAAACGGCTCCAGCTCTACTCGGAGACCACGGCAGCTGAACTCAGCAAGTGGGAAGAGGAGGAAGCCGCCCGCCAGCAGGAAATACAACACCAGCTGGCAGAGGCAGAGGCAGCACGTCAGCAGGCCGCAGCAGATGCTGCAGCAGCCGCACGGTTGCAACAGCAGCAGGTCGAGGCACCAAGCTCGTTACCAAGCCACGATGGACCTTGCACACGACGAAGCCACATATAGCAGGTTACTTCGACGACAACATTTCCAAGAAACCGAAGAACGAGAAGAGCCGACCGAGGAAGAAAGTAACAAGGAAGGTACAGCAGTACTGATGGAGAATCTGATGTACACGTGCAATTGGCAGCAACGTGAACTGCTGGCCATGCGGCAGGTCTTCATCCGCCATGAAACAACATTCAAGGCATTGGACAAGAAGATCGCGACCCTGCTGGCCGAGATCAGCACACTACACGCCGTCATCAGCCAGCAGCAGACACTCAATGACCAGCTGCAGACCGATGTCAGCATGGGGTTGGCACAACCGTCAGCAGCTGCGTCAACGGGCAGTGCAGTGGTAGACTGCAGCCCAGCTTTGGCTGCGCAGGCCAAGCAACTCGAAGAGCGGATCAACCGCGCGGTGGCATCCCTCAACGACATCAGCAAGTTTGCTGGAGCATCGACAGTCAGCAATCAGCTGCAGACGCTCAGCGACCGCGTTGAGCAACGACCAGCCGCTGCCGCCAAGGAATGGAAGATGCCGAACTTCAAGATCGAGAAGTTCGATGACTATCACAAGACTGATCCGCTGAAATGGTGGATGGCTTCCAACGCGGAGGCGGATGTACATCACACCCCCGCACATCGGCGGCTTGACGCACTCTACCTCCAACTCATCGGAGGGGTGCAGGCTTTTATGACACACATGGCCGTCACGTTGGAATGCACCATCGCCAACCTCCACACTAAGATTACGTGGGAGGAATTCGAGAAGAAATGGAAGATCCGGTTCATGGTCAACAACGACAAACGGCACGCCATGAACAAGATCTTCTGCATATACCCAGGCCAGCAAACGTCATGGGAATGGCTGACGGAGTGGCAAAGACTCGTCGCCACCCCGGAGTTGAACTTACCGTTCGACTCAATCCGGGCCGAGTTCTTCGCCCGGTCATGCGACGCCTTGACAGCTGCTTTGGGCAGCGAATTCCAGTATGAGACCTTTGATGACATGATATCAAAGGCAAGGGAGCTCATACAAGGTAACCGGCGGGCGGCCAACGAGACCTGCCAACAACCCGGTTACGTGGAGAAAGGCAAAGGTCAACGGACGCCGCAAGTAGCAGCAGTCCAGCAAGGAACAAGTGAGGACCCCACAGCCGCATCTACATCAAGTGACGGACATGCGGCGGCAGCGATACCACCGCTACGCTCACGACCCCGAGGGGGAAAACAAAAGGCGAAACCAGCGTCGGCGGATGGAGCACGACAGGCACCATGGACAAAGTTCGGCATTACCGAAGATATGTTCAAGTTGTGACATAAATGGGGATGCTGCTTTTGGTGCAACAACACCAAACACATCACTAGCGCATGCCTCGACAAGGACAAGGAGAATGTCAAACGTCCAAGCTCGGGAAACTGAGCACCGCGAGAAGTGCAGCGACATCACTTCCAATCGGTCGGAGTCGGCTGCCTTGCTAGCAGTCTCTCTCACATCCGGGGATGACGCGGTAGTCACAAGTTCTCGCATTGAATTTGAAAACTATGTTGTCGAGCTGATCCCACCGTTGAACCAGCCTCTCCACGTGCAAGATTCAAGCGCATGCGCGGTAGTTCCGCCGTCGGACAACGAAACGGTTGCTTCGCCAGCCCTTCTATTGGAGGATCAGTCAACTTGGGCGAGTCTTGCGGAACTCGACCCGTTGACGGTTGACGACTTCCAATGGTTGCCTCTTCCCTCCACCGGTTCTTTGCCAACTCCGCATTGCAATGCCTTAATGGCACATTTGCGCGAATACTTGCACGTTGCAGTACCACCTCCGTCGACGGACGGCGGAGTAGCGGTTGTTCATCTTCGTAACTATCTAGCGAAGATTGACCGCGAGTAGGCAACGCAACGGTACGTCGACATCGACGGGCCGCTCCTCTGCATCCGCATTCAGATCGGAAAGGCGACCTGCAGTGCCTTGATCGATTGTGGAGTGACTCGCAACTACATCAGCCAAGACTTCATGGCACGCGCCGGGCTTGGCCCGCGCGTTCGAAGGAAAAGTCAGCCTACGCACGTCACGTTGGCCGATGGTCACACACAAAAGTCAATCGACCGATGCGTTGACTCGGTGCCCGTGTACTTTGCCCCGCTAGCATGCGAGGCCGTGTCTTTCGACATATTGGACACCAAGTTCGATATGATTTTAGGCATGTCGTGGCTGCAAAGCGAAGACCATCCAGTGAACTTCCATCGACGCACCGTTCACGTTTGTGATCAGCGTGGCGAACTAGTCCCGTGTACGGTGCCGCTTCCTCATCCTTCGATTGGTTGTCACGTGGTATCCGCGGCGAGCATTCGCCAATCCATCCGGCGGAACGACATCGAGGAGATGGGCATATGTTTTTTTCATGCCCTCCCACCCGGTGATCAGCCCAAGATGGATACGTCGGACCCACGCATCATTGAGTTGTTGGACAACTATGAGGATGTCTTCCAAGCTCCCGCCGGAGTCATACCGGATCGGCCCATACGCCACGGGATCACTCTTGAGGACGGCGCCGTACCTCCACGCGGATGTATCTACCGCATGAGCGAAGAGGAACTTCAAGTGCTTCGGGCACAACTAGACGACCTCTTGGCCAAGGGCTGGATTCGCCCTAGCTGTTTGCTGTACGGTGCTCCCGTTCTCTTCGTCTGGAAGAAGAACAAGGACCTTCGTTTGTGCACTGACTATCGGAAACTTAACGCGCAAACGATCAAGAATGCCTGCCCTCTCCCTCGGGTCGATGATCTTCTCGAGCGACTAGGCGGCGCCAAGTACTTCTCAAAGCTTGACCTCAAGTCCGGATGCCACCAGATCGAGATCCAGCCAAGAGATCGGTACAAAACCACATTCAAGACGCGGTATGGGCTCTTTGAGTGGATCGTCATGCCTTTTCGTCTCACCAATGCCCCGACTAATTTCCAAGCGGCTATGACGGCGGAATTCCGCGACTTGCTCGACCGCACCGTACTCATTTACCTTGATGATATCTTGGTTTATAGCCAGACGCTGGACGTGCACCTCGAGCATCTTCGTGCCGTATTGGAGCGGCTCCGTATCGCCAAGTACAAGGCGAACCGCGACAAGTGCGAGTGTGCCCAGCAAGAGCTGGAGTACTTAGGCCATTACGTTACGCCGCAAGGCATTCGTCCGCTCGCGGACAAGGTACAAGCCTTTCAAGATTGGTCGTACCTCAAGTGTACTACTGACATCCGCTCCTTTCTCGCCTTAGCATCATACTACATGCGCTTCGTCAAAGGATTTCAACGCATCGCTGCACCATTGTCGCGACTTCAGTCCCCCTTGGTGCCCTTCGAGTTCAGCGACGAAGCCCGGCATGTGTTTCACACGCTGAAGACGACTTTGCTTCAAGCTCCCGTCTTAAGCATCTATGACCCGACCTTGCCTACTAAAGTGACTACGGATGCTTCCGGCTACGACATTGGCGCGGTTTTGGAACAGCATGAAGGCACAGACTGGCATCCGGTTGAGTACTTCAGCCAAAAGTTGCCGCCCATCAACAGTCTTGATGATGCGAGGAAGAAGGAACTGCTAGCTTTTGTCACCGTACTTGAGCGTTGGCGTCACTTTCTCCTCGGGCGTCGGCGATTCACGTGGGCAACGGACAACAATCCGTTGACGTATTACAAGATGCAAGACACGGTGAGCAGCACGATCGGTCGATGGATGTACTTCATTGACCAGTTCGACTTCACCTCCAAGCACATTCCAGGCTCCTCGAACAAGGCAGCGGATGCTCTCTCGCGAAGACCTGATTTTTGTGCCTTGGTGCACTCGACATTCGGCCTCGATGAGAACCTGCAACAGCATTTCATAAACGGCTACAAGGCGGATCCGGGATTATCCACACTCTATTCGGACTTATCATCGGATCACCCGCCGGCAAGCAACTATCGCATTGTCGACGGCTACTTGCTTCTTCATATACGAGGCAAGGACTTGTTGTGTGTTCCCCAAGACCGCATCTTGCGCACTCGCCTCCTTGGCGAATACCACGATTCGTGGCTGGCGGGACACCTTAGCGTCGCACGCACACTAACACGACTCCGCCAGCGATCTCACTGGTCGAACATCATCAGCGACATCAACCGGTACATTCAGTCATGTGCAGTTTGCCACCGGAACAAAGGGCGCCATCAGGTCCCGTACGACGAACTGAAACCATTGCCGATTCCTCGGGAACCGGGTCTCTCCATTGCTATGGATGTGACCGGCCCTTTCCCTCGCGATCGCCTTGGCCATGACGGTATTCTCACGGTCGTTGACCATTTGAGCAAGTACGCTCGATTTCTTCCATGCAAGCATCATGCGACGGCTCCTGAGCTCGCACGACTTTTGCATACCGGCTGGTTTTGTAGCCACGGTGTTCCGGAAGACATCGTCAGCGACCACGACACTTGTGTCATGTCGGCCTTTTGGACGACACTCATGGTGGAATTCGGCACCAGCATGAAACCAAGTTTCGCACGGCATCCTCAAACGGATGGGCAAACGGAACGTGCGCACCAGACTGCGCAGATGATGCTCCGCACACTCATCCGCCCGGATCAGAAGGATTGGGTTGACCGCCTTCCCGACATCGAGTTCGCCTACAACACTTTGGTGCACCTGGCGATTGGCGTGACTCCATTCAAGTTGCACCACGGTGGACGGAAAGGACGTATCTTCGCAGACATTTTGCTTCCACGGCCTGCCGATATCGACGCCGCTTGCTCCCCCGCTTCTACACGGAAGTATAGGGAACTGCTGGCCAAAGCCCGCGCAAACATGCAAAAGGCTCAGGTCCGTATGCAGCAGCAAGCGAACCGGCGTCGCATCCCATGTCCAATACGCGTTGGCGACCTAGTTTGGGTCACCTCCGAGGAATTCGCGCTCGAGCAGCACGTCTCGCGCAAGCTCCTCCCTAAGTGGTTTGGACCATGGAAGGGCACTTCAGCAGCTGGCGACGACCCCGCGGGTCCATCTTTCATCATTGAGATTCCCCCGCATTTGACGGTCCACCCGATATTTCACGCTTCAAAGCTGGCGGTCTACACTCCAGCCTCCGCAGCGGATTCCCGGGCAGACGATCACAGGACCCTCCTGCTATGGATGATCATCAGGAGGTCGACCGCGTTCTCACGCATTGCAAACATGGCAACAAGCCTATGCAGTACAAAGTTACATTTAAGCAATGGGATCCGGACGACACACGCTGGATTTCAAGAGCTGACCTGAAGGCGACAACACCCCTCATCTTCGCGCATTACGAAAAACAGCGACTTGCTAAGGAAGCTGCCCAACCTGCCCGCCCTGTACGGACATGGGACAGACAGCTTCGCCCTCGCAGTTAGCTCGGTCTTCAAGGGGGGAGTGTGTAGCATTCTGAGCCACACGGGCCCCAGTTAGGGCCCGGTTCCAGGTAGGCAGGGTAAGCCTAAGGGGGACAACGGTTCAGATAAGGCCCAGGTAGGCTAGGGGTACGGCGGTTCAGGCAGGCCTGGGATAGAGGCCCAGCATATGACCTACCGGCGGCGCAGTTCCAGAGGCTGCCAATTTTAGGCGCCAAGTCCAGTTCAAAACTGGACCGTTGATTCAGATCAACGGTCCAGGCCGGTAGATACCAGCAGGTAGGAGGCCGGCCCAGCACTACAAAAGGCTGGGTACCAGCCTCAGTAGGGAGGTTAGATGGACTAGAGGTTATCTTCGGATTAGCACAGCGGTTCAGCGTTAGCACAATTAGCGCAGCGCTGCAGCACAGCGAGGAGCAGTGAGAGAGCAGGAGTTCAGCGGCGAGAGGATTAGCGCAGCACTGGGCGCAGCGCCAGTTACCGGCCCAGCCCCCTTGCAGCGCCATAGCTACTGTGCCAGGTACCAGGGAGGAAGGCTTCGCCTTCTCTCCCTCATCTCCTCCACCGCTCTTCTCTCCTCTCTCTCTCTCTCCTCATACCTTCTCAGTCTAAGTCTACTTCTGGGTTTCTCCTACGGGACTACTATGAGTAAGAAGGATGGTTACGAATTTTGGTAACATTGGGAACAGCGACATTGGGACTACGGGTTGAGGACTACTTGGGGATCTGATTTCATCTTCCTTCTGAAGATGTACTTGACATTGTGAGATCGATATCTGAGATATTGTGAGACTTGGTATTCGCGACATTTCGGATGTTCGTCACTTCTGGCATTTCAAGATACTATCTTTGTGAAACATCGAGTTGACGTCATCTTCCCTCTCCTCCTCCTTTCGTCTCTATCCTCTCTCCCTTCGTCCGTGGATGATCTCAGCCCCTGGCCTTTCGTCTATGTCTGAGGCCAGGGCTTTCACACCCCGATGTATGAATGAGAGTGTTCGATTGCAGTCCGAGTCAGGTCCGAGTCGGTCCAAGGTATCTCAAGTCTTCCGCTTGCATTTGTATTAACTCTGTATTATCTGGTTGGTTCTGGGAATCTGCGCCAAACTTATGACTGTGTTTCACGAGTATGCAACATTTCCCACATTGTCGCCACAACCTTCCAGCGGCCGGCCCCTCTACCTGGGCCCCGCTCTTTCAAGCCAGTGCCAAAGTATCCTTACTGCACGTGAAGCATCGTCAGCGCACCAAGTAACAATGTCGCCAGCGCCAGGTAAGCGGCGATCACGAACCAGCTCCAATACCAAATTGCAAGTAATATGAGTGTGAACGATATACAAAAAACCAAGTTGCAAAAACCACACAGATGTCCAAGTAGTCGTGTACAAGCAGAGAGCACAATTGCACCAAGAATCCATCCAAATAGAGCAATACAATGAAGTAATGAGCCAATGTTCAAGCCCTCAGGCCACACCAACACAGTATCCAAAGTCGCTCCTCTCTGTCTGGCGCCCAGCGCCTAGCCTACTACTCTACTCGACTATACTACCTACAGCTGTGTTCACGCAACAGGCTTACTTCTACTCTCGAAGACCAATGTACATGATGTCAACATCATAGCCGACCTCTCCTCATGCACCAGGTACGTATCTTGTCACCCTCATCAGACTTTGATAACCCAGACTCACCTCCTTCCCTGAAGACCACCAGATCGCCCCCTCTTACCCCCTAGCGCACAGCAGCTGGGCTATGGCTGCCAGCGCACCGCTGCCCTGCAGCGCCCCACTTCACCTCAACGCGCCCCGCCAGCGCCCTGGCCGCAGCGCAGCAGCGTGACCGCATTGCCTGCGTGGGCCAGAATGCCTGGCTTGGGCTGCCTCACTTCCTATATGGAAGTGGCAGCCTCCTGGATGCCGCGTGTGGCCTGGCTGGAAGCTTCCAGTAGCTTCCGGTTAGGCCTCAGTTCCTGCGGCCAGGCCCGAGACTACAGTTGAGGGCCTGGGCCCCTTACAGTTGGGCACGGGCTGAGTCTCCGGACTTGGGCCGTTTGCTGCATTTGTGCAGGACCCCGGGGTAGGTGCGTTGACAGTACTGCTTTTGCATAGGCTGATGTTACATGCCCAGTTGGGCGATGTACATATAAACCAAGGATCCACAATGTGATGAAAATGACTGAATGGACAATGCAGTGCAAGTGAAATCTCAACAAGCAGTGTACATCCTGATACATACAGAATGGTGTTTTTATAGCGCAGTGGAAGATTTAGACACAAGTCCTGACCTGACCGGGACTGACCCCTTTCACGTAGTACAAGATAGCGAAGCAGAAGGCTAGAATACTAATGACGAGCCCAATCAATGTCGCAATGCAGACTAAACATACATCATTCTCACCACGAGGTGCGAAGGGGCCTGGCACTATACACAGGAAGAGGCGCCAGGTCCAGCCATGCACAGACGAAGAGGAGGGGATCAGACGAAGAGGAGGGGAGAGATGGGAAAGTCGTCAACACCAAGTCTCGTTACAAGTCCCAAATAGTCCCTCGTCAAAATGTCTGAAGTCCAATGTCGAGTCTGGATCCAAATGTCACCAAGCTCTCTCTCTCTCTCTCTCTCATAGTCTGCTGATGCAGTGAAGTCAGATATCGAGAGGGTGAGAGGGAGATGCTGGACTGAGAAGAGGAAGAAGAAGAACTCTCTCTCTCTCATATGCCAGGTACTAACCTGTTAAGGTGGCGCTGTGCTGCAGGTACCTTGAAGACGAAGCTGGAGCGATGGCGCTGCAGGTAAGTCCCTCTGGCCTCCGCCCAATCTCTCTCTCTATGGTACTACTCTAGCTATGGCGCCCAGCGCTGAAGACTACTGCTAATGCTACAAAGCGCCCAGCGCTGAAGACTACTGCTAGCGCAAATACTACTCCTGCAGCGCTCCTCCAGAGTGCTGCTGCCGAATCCTGAAGACTACCTCCTGCCTCCTGAAGTGCACCTGAAGTGCCTGGGAAGTACCTACCGGCCTGCAAGGCGGGCCAGTCCTATATAGTGCTGGCCCGTCCAGGAGGCTGCTCTTGCCAATGCCTCAACGTGCCAGACCCTGGGGTTGAAGCTCAAACAAAGGTTGTCTTGAAAATAGGCCAGAAATGGCCTGAGCTAAAACCCTGGTCTGGTGCCTGAGTTTCCGGGCAGGCCGAACTCATGAGGGCCCGGAAATGGCCCTCAGTTTCAGGCTGAAAACACTCAGGGCCGGAAAGGCCCTGATTTAACCTGAAACGACACAGGG